ATTAGCTTATTTCTGGCCCCATTTATCTTTTTAAAGTGATACTATTTTAGTCATCCTACCTATCAACCCATGGGAGCTTTGCAAAATGTAAATATGGTCATACTATCCCCTGCTTAAAAATCCTTTACTGGTTTCCAATTTTCTTTAGGATGAAGACCAGTCCTTTTGCTTGGCTTACAATGCTGTGCAAGGCCTGTCTCCTCCATCCTTCTCCATTTACATCTCAGTCTTTCCTGTATTTACAGCTCTAACTAAACAGCCTTTCAGTCCACAAATATATGATGCTTGTAGCCAAAGAGGGCCCCTGTACCTCCTATTAACTAGAGTCTACTTCTCCCCTACTTGTCTGTACTTTCAAACCACCCTCAACAATGTTGACTAGTGAGAATGCTCATAGAATAGCTTCCTTAGGAAAGATGATTGAGCCGACTTGTGCAAATCCTCATTTGTTGGACTGTTAAAACATTATGATACTCTCCTTTTAATTTTCATCACATTTTTAATTTCATAATCATACGAAGAGAAAATCTGGCAGTCAGAGAAAATAGCACATTACTTTTAAAGGGAAAAATAATAAAGGTTGCTGATTTATCCAAGGAAATTATGAAATGTAGGAGACAATAGAATTATACCTTTGCAGCCATGAAAGAAAATGATGACCAGCCTGGATTTGTACATCCAGTGAAAATGTTCTTGAAAAATCATGGTGAAGAAGGAAACTCAGATTTACCTGAAGAAATAAAGAGCATCAGAAATAGTAAATTTGTGGAACCATGTAAGATATGTTGCTCATTTACTGACTTTAAAAAATAATTATTGCAAACAAGAAAAATAATTATGTATTGTGAAAGTTTAAAGGTATGAAAACAAACATATGACAGAAATATCACAAAGAATGAAAAGGGGTAAATGATAATATACTGCTTTAAAGTTTTTATCTATTAAGAGATGAGGTATAATATTTGTAATTATACTGTGATAAGTTGAAAATATATACTCTAAATGTTAGAAAAAGCATACTAAAACAATAAAATCAAAGGTAAAGATAATGAACCAGTAGTGGAGATAAGTTTAGATCCTTAAAAAAAAATTCTTAATTATTCAAAAAAAAAGACAGTTAAAGAAAAAAAGGAACAAATAACAAACAGAGCCTCTGTTTGAACATCAACTTGTACTTTACTCTGGTGAAAACCAGCTGAGGTCATTGGCCAATGACCTCAGATAAGCCAAAAAATTAAATATTAAAGAAAACTGATTTATTAGAATATCTTCCCTGTACCTTTGAAAGGCAAACAAGTGGAAAAGGAACAGAACAGCTGAAGACATACTCATTACAGCAGTTTCCACCTGTACATCAGGATGCCTAGGGAAGGAGGACGGTCTCTCTCCATGGGAATTGTCGGTAAGTGTAACCAGTACTGACATGTAAGGAACCAGACCCCCTCTGCTGGTACAGAGAACTACCCAAAGTTCAGTCTCCTGTGATCACCTGCAGTTCTTTTTATTATCATAACAATTCCGAGACACGATTTTCCCATAACACTGGACAAAATGATAGATTCATTTCAGCCTTTCCAGTCTGATACGGCAAACAGAAAGGAGCGGAAGTGGAAGTTTTATGTGAGCTAAAGCTTATGTCATCCAGATGTAAGTAGGTCTGCTGTATGTAAATGAGTACAGGGGAATTATGACTTCAATAAAGCCGAAGGGCAGATGATGCAAAATTTTTACATATTTGACTATGGACTGTTAATGTGTTTTCTATGTCCATGCTCTGATACATAACCTAATGCTAATCCGCTGATCCTTACAATCTAGCATGTCGGCGCTTGCAGGGTCTCTGGGCTTTTCTTTGCACGCATCTCGGATTCTGCCACGCATTTCCTCTCTCTGCCCATCTGAGAGCTGCTGTCATTCTTCCTGTGTCACTTTCTCCTGTTTTGATCCCATTTTCAGTCCCTTCTGCCTCCAGCTTTCCCCTGTAATCTTCTTCTTGTCTCCTGAAAATGATCTAACTTCTTTCACTATTTAACTAATTATAATACGGAATTAAATTCTAATTTCTACAGTATTCAGTTTGAGTTTCTAGTCTTTATACTACAAAAGCAAAAAGATCTGGACATTTTCCATTCACATATCTATTTGTGATCTGCTGCACTGTCCCGTCCTCCCTCTCGAATTTTTTTAAAACCACTTTCGAGAGGTATGATTCACATGCAAAAGACTACGTATTTAATGTATTCAACCTGATGAGTTTGGACATAAGTATACACCTGCAAAGATGGGGGAGGACACGCTGAACTTACTTTTTTTTATTTGGGATTAAATTTGAGGGCACTTTATTGTGCAATCACAAAAATAAAATACAGGAAAAAAAAGGGGGGTAAGGGGGAGGGAA